AAAAGCTGGCAATTACCTCTGCAGCTGCAACACCAGTGTTCTGACTACATGGCTCCATAAGCAACTTAGCCATTATATTTGGCATAAGCTAAAGCATTGTTTTATGGAGGACTGTAGCAACGTTTTTTTCCTCCAGATAGGAAGCATCTGGCAAGCCACCTGGACCTCCTGAGAGGTCACCAAACTTGAACCTTCAAGAAAGAATATGACCCTATTCAGCATCAGACTTACACTTCCACACAGGGCCTCCCAGGTTTCTCTGCCTAATGCTCAAATACATCTGCATTAAGTCCCAGGTTGTTGGCCCTCATCCATCCCCAATGATTTCCAGAAACTTGGTTTGGGCTTCCACAGCCTCCCTGGGACCAATTAGCAGAAACAAGAGTTATCTATATGCCAAAACCGTTTTAGTTCATAGGAAGGGAATTTCAAGCTTGCAGGGACACCATATGCTAAAATTCCTGAGGGACAAGATAAATCCTGAGACATCCAAAAGCCTATGACCACACAGGGAACAAGAAGCATCCTCGCACCACTTGCTGGCACTTTACCCTGAAAGATAAGATACTACCATAACACTATATTCTGTTTCAGTCCTACACCAATTGTCTCAAAGGGGTACCACCATCAATGGTATTAAAGAGCACTGAGAGGTTCAGGAGAGTACACTCCTTTGACTGTTCCCCAGCTTAAGCCATCCACCAGGTCAACACAGATTGTTTCTGTCTTCAAACCAGTCCAGAAACCAAACTGCAATGGATCCAAGTAATCCATACACATACAGATGAAATAAGCTTTTAAAGCTATCTGCTTGCCATTTCTTTTTTTTTCCAATTAGCCCATCAATCAAGATAACACATTCAGATGCTGCACTGTCTCCTTCACCCATCTATGGAAAGACTCAATAATACACAAGACCTTCAAACCATTAAGGCAGTCTTCACCAACTTGATGCTCTCCAGATGTTTTTGATTACAATTCACATCTACAAAGCTGACATGACCATTGGTAAAGAATCATGGGAGTTCAAGTCCACAATACATATAGGGAATCAGGTTGTGGAAGGCAGTTTCAGTGCAATCAATCATCAAATGCTTGACCTGTGGAACTAACATCATACTTTGAGGACAAGTACTCCAAGGAGACGCATCAAGATTTCACACTCAACTCACTTTCTGCTCTTTTAGGCTAAAGAAGCCCAGACTTTCTTCATGATTCATAAAAAGCCACCTAATCAAGCACCCAACTTAGCCCCTGTCACTTTTTTAGGAGATAGATCATTCCACTAGAAAAGATATAAGACTATTTCTACAGACCAAGCATCAATTCCCCCACACAGTCAATGAGCACCTCACCATAATCACACTACCACTTAGATACAACAGCACTTCAATCAAGTATCTTGCCTCATTAGCAACTATAGCAGAGTTGCACCGAAGATTCAGAACGCTGCTCTTCTACACAGTATCTACTCTGTCCCCTCACATCTAAACAGAGCTAAGATTGCCTTCCCCTGCCTCCTTCCTACTATTTCCTCATAGGACAACATGTTATTCTCCTGCTGTCTTACCACCCACCTAACTCAACCAAAAAATGACATTTCTTCGACCATTCTACACAACTTTTTGTATCTCCAGGTCTGTACCTGCTTACAGTATTGGTGGACATGGAGTCATACAACCATGCCAACCCACAAATCTTGTTACTTCACCACTTGAAGACACAAACTACCAGACTCAGTAATTTTCACTTGCTCAAGCTCAGGAAAGCTCTGACCTTCTTTTTTTGCTAGACTACCTCGTTAAAAGATCTCTCTCATCCATTCTACAGGTTTCAGAGAAAGGAGACGGCAAACCCCTTTCATCTGTTCACTACAGCTGGAACTGCCACCTAGAGAGGACAGAAGCTGTAAGAAACAAGTCCATGATGTGCGTGCCATACAACTGCAAACGAAGTGATTTTGTGGGCAGCTTCCCACAAAAAGTAATGTTTGATCTTAGTCTTCAAGGTTGCCCAAAGCAAAGCAGTGAACATACAAGTTATTCACCATTCACAGGATGAGTTTACAGGAAGTACTTATATTCTCAACCACAATTCCTCACCCTCCCACATATGTGTACATGCACACACATAAACCTACTTTCACCATTGGCTGGCTCTAAACAAATGTACTCTAGTGTACAAAAGGTTTTGCCACATCTTAGAACTTTTAAGGACCTTAATCACTTGCAACAAGAACACATACATCTACCCCTTTAGATATTATAGATGCTTCCTTTATTATTTACTATTATTGACTCATAGCCCTGCTTTTCTACCCGAACCGGGGCTCAAGGCAGGTCATTACACTTTGCTAGAATTCTGTGGCAAAGAAGGAATAATTGAGATTATCCATAAAGTTCATGTATGGGCAGTTAATGTTTGATTTGTCCTCACCAGAAACCAAAACAATACTGTCAATATCCTTCACGACTCTCCCATTAATTAACTCCAATCATTTATGCAAGTCCAACCCAGCTACCCTGCCTGCTGACCTACCCATCTGCCTCCACTGGTCATGGTGTCCCAGGAAGTCCTCATACCCTTTTCTTTACTATTTTAACTTTGCAACCCTCAGCGCAAGCGGGGTTGGAGCTATTCCCCAATAAGTCAGTATAAAAGCAAAATCTTGAGTCTTTCTGCTCAGTTTCACAGCCTGAGACTTCACAGTCCTGCTTTCTTAAGGAGGCCTTTTCTCTTGCATAACCTGAAGGGTATGCAAAGCACAGCTCTACTTTTTTCCAATGTCATCTCCTGAATGAACTCTCTGGCAAGGCCCAAACCATTGGAAAATCCCTCGTTCAAAGCTCAAGTCATCCATGCAATACACTGAGGAAAGTCACAGTGTGTACCCACACCTCAGTTTGTAAACAACACACAGATAATAACATTGATCCGCTTACTCAACGGGATTGATACGAAAATTACTGACCCAGCATAAAAGAGGCAGTTTGAACCCTCACGATGTGCTTTTGCTATTCATGCAAGTTCAGTGACATTCAAGCCCCTCAAGGCTGCTTCCACAGCCTTTTAAGTCCCCTTCCACCAGCTTCCCCACTCATGCAGAATACTAAGCATTTACGGAGGAATGCCCAGAGCACTCAGAGAGCTTCTTGCATATGTAAGCCAAGGACCTTTCAACCGCACTGTAAGCTAAAATCAGCNNCTGGTTGTGGATGGAAGTGGGGGGGGGGGGAGAGAACAATACCAGCAGGTGAGTTCACCGCAGGGGCAAGATTTGAAGCCGGTCCTCTTTGTTGTCCACCAAGACTTTGATCCTGAAAGTGAGCGTCATGCAAGCTCAGTCCTGCATCACGGTCAACCCACAATGGAAGCACGGAAGTTCTGAAGGGATGGGGCAGTCCTTTTCGGCCAGGAAGTGCCATCGTTTTACTGCTGTTCAACTACAACACCCAAGGCAGGCTCTAGTGCTATCAGGAAATCTGAAACAGGCCTTGGCACCTCGGGAGAACTTTGCAAATCACAAAAAGAATCTGAACCCACTGCAACCCACAGTCCAGGACAAGTCCTTTACATAGCACAGGGATAATTCTGCCAGTTAGATCTCTGGCTGTGAAGCCAGAGGTTGGGAGTTCGAATCCCCTCCCCCACTGTGCCTCTTTGACAGGGTCCCCTTCCAGTTCTAAGATGATGATGATTATAGAACTGCTGGATAGCTCAATGGTTTTAGACCAGAGGTTGGGAGTTCGATTCCCCCGTGTCTCCCTGACAGGGGCTGAAACTGATGATCCCTAGGGTCCCCTTCCAGTTCTGCTGCTCTAAGATGATGATGACAACGACTACTGTTCTTTGCCTCACCTTCCTGAGCCTCTCCTGCGATTCTCTTTCCCTCCCCCCCCCGTCTCCTTGATAGGGGCTGGAACTGATGATCCCTAGGGTCCCCTTCCAGTTCTGCCATTCTAAGATGATGATGATTATAGAACTGCTGGATAGTTCAATGGTTCAGACCAGAGGTTGGGAGTTTGATCCCCCCCATCATCTCCTTGATAGGGGCTGGAACTGATGATCCCTAGGGTCCCCTTCCAGTTCTGCTGCTCTAAGATGATGATGACAACGACTACTGTTCTTTGCCTCACCTTCCTGAGCCTCTCCTGCGATTCTCTTTCCCTCCCCCCCCCGTCTCCTTGATAGGGGCTGGAACTGATGATCCCTAGGGTCCCCTTCCAGTTCTGCCATTCTAAGATGATGATGATTATAGAACTGCTGGTAGCTCAATGGTTCAGACCAGAAGTTGGGAGTTTGATCCCCCCCACCATCTCCTTGACAGGGGCTGGAACTGATGATCCCTAGCGTCCCCTTCCAGTTCTGCCATTCTAAGATGATGAGGATGATGACTACTGTTCTCTGCCTCACCTACCTGAGCCTCTCTTGCTGCCTCAGGCCTTCCTCTGTGCCTCTTCCTTTCTCCCCACAGGGACTCAGCCCCCCCCACACACACACCTATTCTCCTCAGAGTAGCCCTGCGAGGTGGAGGAAAGGGACTGACTGGCCGGGATTTTGGGGGGGGGCGGGGTGCTGTTGTTTGTGGGTGGGGGTTGTGTCTCCTTGACAGGGGCTGGAACTGATGATCCCTGGGGTCCCCTTCCAGCTCCGCCATTCTAATATGACGAGGATGATGACTACTGATCTCTGCCTCGCCTACCTGAGCCTCTCCTGCTGCCTCAGGCCTTCCTCTGTGCCCCTTCCTTTCTCCCCACAGGGACTCAGCGGGCCCCCCCCCACACCTATTCTCCTCAGAGTAGCCCTGCGAGGTGGAGGAAAGGGACTGACTGGCCGGGATTTGGGGGGTGCTGTTGTTTGTGGGTGGGCGTGAGTGGGGTGTGGGTGTTGTGCTCCCAAGCACGACGGCCCCCCCACCTCCTCCTCCTCCGGCGACCCTTCCTCCCTCCCCACCCTCACACACACACACCTCCACACACACACACACCGATCTCACCCACCAGAAGCGTCCCCCGCAGTGCTGGCACTGGTCCCCGACCCAGCCAGGCTGGCACTCGCACTGGCCGGTGCTGGCCTGGCAGCGGCCCCCGTTGGCGCACGGCTTGTCGCACTCCTGGGCCTCTCCCAG